GATCGAGCCGCCATAGTGACAGATGCCGTACTCTTCGGATCTGATCCCTGCTTATCAGTGTTCCCCTGAGTCTTGGCCGGGGTTGCTGCTTCCCTTTCTTCACCAGATCCTCTGGCAGCCTTTCTTCTCCTTCTAGCAGCACCACTCAGGCGGTTGTCACGCTTCCTTCGTTCTTTCTTCATATCTTCCTCCCCCTCTCCCTCTTTCCAGTGAACAGACTTGCCTTCACCCCCATGGGCTACTCGCAAGACTACCCCCCCTTCGCTGGAGGAGCCGCTGCTGCTGCTGGACTGGTGGGATGAGGCCACCGATGTGGGCCGGGCAGGACATACCCATTCCTGCGGGCCAGCGGGGGGCTTGGGCACGTATGCCATTCGTTTTACTACCTCCGTAAAAGAGGCTTTAGCAGTAGGAGCCTCTGTAGAGGCCTCCTTTCTCTCAGGGGTAGGGGATAGTAGGATTGGCCCCAAAGAAACAACAGAGGTGTTGTGAGGTACAGCAGGAGGGGGGGCGGTGGTGGGGGGACAACTTTACCTGAAGGGCTTCAATTTCCTCTCCTTGTCTACCAACAATGTCAGTCAGTGCCTTTACCGCCTATTCCAAGACATGAACTCAACTCCAGTAGTTTATCCCGTTCTTCAGACCTTCATCGTCAAAGCTGGAGCCATTGTTCATCCAAGTCCATACGTCCTGTACCGTGTCGTCTTCAATCGACCCGGACTCCGAGGAGAGGAGAGGCTGAGTATTGCCAGACCGGATGTCTTCTAGACCCTCCAACATGGACACAATTACACTACCTGAGCAGGGTCCAGGAGAGGGAGTCCTACCGGCATCTAACATCTTACAGACCTCTGCCATGATTGAGTCCACCTAGGCCACCACAGCGTCAGCATCCCCTGGTTGGGTTTCTGGCAGCTGAACTTCCAATGGGGTTGAATCGCCACTAGGGGCTTCTAGGGGACCCTCCAATTAGCCTCCAGGAGATGACATCCATCGTTCAGTAATAGGCGGAGGTGATGAGCCCATAGCTGGTGAAGGGGTGTGTATACTATCGCCTAAACCAGTCACTTCCAAATTGCGCCCATCATCTAGGTCCATAGGGATGTCCCAGGTCAGCACCTCAGAGGTGGGTAGGTCATCCTCAGTCATTAGCAGGGATGGAGAAGGGGGTGTAGCCTTGATTGCCGATAGGAGTACCATAGGTGGAGGAATGGCCAGATGCCCATGGTGAACGTCTAGGGGTAGGCCAGGAAGAGCGGGAACAATCTGTTTTTTCTGTTCCTCATCAACGTTAATAGCTCTCAAAAATTGGGGACCAAGGAGAGGAGCAGCAGATCGCTTAGCGGGAGATGCCGACCATGTCTGGCGGCATGTTCCAGAGGCAAGAGAGTTATAATCCTCATCATCAGGGTCATTTAGCTTGAACTTTGGGGTCTTGTCAAGAGCCCTTTTACCTGAAGACATTCCTGCCAGGAAGGAGGGAGTCGAGGAGCTAGTCCCAGCATTATGGGCCTGGCAGAAGATGCTGGGCATCTTGCTTTGGATAGCCCTAGCGAGGGGAGGAGTATTGGACTAAGAGCTGGCCTCAACTGTAGTGGCAGTTGAGTTGTCCTTGGTGGAGGGGATGGATGATTCAGGGACTATAGCCTGAGAATCTTTAGGAGGTGAAGGTACAGGGGCTGGAGAATATTCCGAGCCATGATCTGAGTTAAACTGAATGAAGAGCCCTGTGGTAGTGTCTTTGTTCAAGCCACATGTGGCAGAATAGCCTCTCCCAATTAGGAAACCTCTTACCAAAACCTCCACTTCTTTCATCATGGCAATGGTTGCCTCAGCGACTATTTGCCAAACCAAATCATCAAACTGCGGGTTAACCGTGTTCTGACACCCGCGGCAGTGGTGAAACTGTAGGAAACCAAAGTTCCCTGTAGATGTGACATATGACCATGTAGTTGTGGGGATAAGGCCACGGCCGGCCTCAGTAATGTGTGCAAGAGACAAGGCTGCATGCGCTGTCTCAAGCGAGGAGGAAGGGCTGGAGTCGAACAGAACAGGAGAAGACATCCTCAAAGGAGGGGGAGAATCCGTGGAAGAGGAGGCTGTCGAAGATGCCATCCTCGCCCAAACTATACTCAGTGATTATTAGGACCAGGCCACGGATATCTCACACTGAAGTATCTTCTAAGCAAGAACAACTAACTTCTAACCGACTGCCCGAAAGGAAAACACAAACAAGTAACAGTGATGAAGTATTTATCGCGAGCGAAATAAGGTAAAGTATTGGTTATGCTCACTTCCGACACGGAGTGCAAGAAGTAGGAAAAGTACTTAGAACAAAGTGTGAAGAACCTATCCTCCTCAGCCACATTAGCCTCCTTATATAGTATTCTTCCTGCCTGTAGTCATGTAACCCAAAGTGGTCACATGTGCGAAACCAATCATAACAAACTAATCATGTGACCAAAGTGGTCACATGTTCAAAACTCATAACCTCATAGCGAGGTCATGTGCAAAAACTCATAAACCAATTATAACACAATAAACAAGTCATATGACTCGACTTAGTCATATGCGTGAAACCCATGACCTCATAACGAGGTCATGTGCGAAACATAAATCATATGCGCATGGCATACCCACAAGGCATACCCGCAAGGCACACTCGCAAGGCACACTCGCCAGGCGCACATCCCATGACTCATATTTGAGCCATGTGCGAATACATCACAAATCCCACACATAACAAATCATATGACTCGAATGAGTCATATGTGTAAAACAATAACATACCTGTGACTCATAACCATGTGTCACATGAAAACCTTTTCCTCACCAAGCCACATTCATGACACTAGGTTACCTGACGCCCAGGAGAAGAGTACGAGAAGGATTGTATCGCCCCCAAGTTCACCAAAACAAAAACAATTATGATATATTGGGGAGAATATTTGGGGGTAACAAAACTCCTCTTGTGGTTGGGAATTGGGAGGACTGGAGAACCATAACAGCCAATAGTTATGTTAACCATGTTCTCACCCACACCCTGTGGCCATATTGGTATTAGAAATGTCAGAAGAGGGAAACAATACTTGTAGTGATGGAGGATGGGGCATCAACTCACCGGACTTGATATACAGCTACTGTTCGAGAGCAGTATAATATGTCAAAAATTAATTAGCCTACCAAATCCCCAGATCTTAACCCGATTGAGAATGTCTGGCATATTTTAAAAAGTATGCTGAACAAGTGGTGTCCCCATCCTGTTGGCCAGTAAGGAATGGTCAGTGCTATTATAGAAGAATAGCACAATATTCTGGAGTTTGAGATCCTGGAATTGGTGGACTCAATGCTGGTGAGAATCGCTGCTGTTATTGCAGCCAATAGTAGTCATACTCCCTGGTAGTCTACTGTCTATTTTTTTTTTTTTTTTTTAATTGTATATATATTGAAATCTAGCTCTAAAATACGCTTTTTCTATTGTGTAAACTACTTTGTTGATGTTCAGAATTCCCAATTTGGCACCCCTGGATTTCCCTGTCTCACCTTACCCCCAAGTGGCATTTACCCCCCCCCCTGTTTTCGGGTACTTCTTGCCTGGGACAAGTAAGGCATCATCATCGCCCCGGTCTCTTTCGCACTTCCTCTGACCACCTCCTCCCAGAATCATTTCTATCCCCCTGGGGGGGGGGGCAAATGAGCCAATTAACATCTCTTGCAAGCCTTATTGGCACGGTCAAAATTACAGACATGTAGATTCGTGGAACCCTCATCTTAGCCATGACCAACCGCACAATCCTGCCCATTGTTACAGAGCGACAGCCTTACCACTCATGATGCGAACCCGTTCATCATCCGAAAGAGCGCTCACCATGTCAATCTACGGATTATCGCCTCCAGTGCCTCCGCACGGGATAGTCCGTGGGAACTGTTCCTAGGCGCGGTACTTGTACTAGTATCTCGCCAAACGACAGGCTTCGGACTCAGATTCGGATGTCCGGCGCATGGCGCCGAAGGTGAAGGTGGTGGGTCAAGGATTCACCCTGGTTGGATGGAAGTTCGCTCTCTTCTCGCGGTGGAGATGAGAACAATTTGCTCCTTAGAATCGATCCTTCCTCTAGAGGTTTTATAGGTAAACAGCTATCTCACTTATGCTCTTGGAGCTCACCTAGGCTGTTAAAGTGGAACCAAGTGCTCGATACGCTATCATTATACGGTGGTGTTCTCCCGCCGGAAAAAAAGCTCTACCTCTGGAATTCTATAACTTTACCATCCCAGCGAAAAGGGAGGGAAAAGGGGAAAAGGGAAAGTGCAGACGGACCCGTGGTGAGTTTGGGCACATACTGCATCCAAGATCCGGGGGATCTGGGCTCAACCGCGGTGAAAATGTGTTCCTTTGATGCGTACAGTACTATACACAGACACAAGCACATACAGGTGCTTACCGGTATGATACCGTACCGAATTCCACGTTGGGTATTGAGAGCGTTCCTCTCTTGATGCACAAACCAGCAGGCAGTCGCACTTGCGGTAATATTAATTGCTGTATATTGGCCCGGGAGTTCGACTGCGGGTGCCAGAGTCTGGGGGTCCATAATTGTATGGCAAATTACCTGCGTCTTCTGAGCCCCCGCATAATACAGTAGGTTACCGGTATGATACCGGTACCGTACTAAATTCAGACTCAAACCACGATTTGTTAGGTCCGGTTGAGCTGGGGTAGACTACAGCAGTAATTGGAGATTTTTCAAGATTTGGAGAAGCAGGGTGGGAGTGGTGAGAGTTTTTCTGTTTCGATAATGCAGAGACTTTGGCTTGAAGTATCGAGCCCAAAATTTTGTGGGTCATTTTCCGTCCGGTTGGACAGACTCAAGTGTTCGGGCACTGGTACTGTACTCGTATCACACCTCTCACCGAGTTACTATACTATACTTGTAAGGTACTTGTGCTCCTGATTATTACTATGATACCATGTTATGATACCTTGTGAATTCTTCCGCTCCCCACAACCTCCTCATCCATCCACCCACCCATCCTCACCCCTTCAGACAAGCACTGGATCGCTGTCTTCTGCCTGGCCTGTAGATCTTTTCTGCTCTTCTTCCTCCCACTTTCTGTCGCTCCTTCGAAGAAGCCTTTTTTTATTTCCTTTTCTTCCCATCTCTCTTCAGCTTGCTTTTCGGGGGTAGACTCCTTTTTTTTTCTTATTCCTTGCTTCCATTATTGCAATTATTGTTATTATTGGAAATATTATCCAGGTCTAGCCCGTCAACTCCTTCCACACCCCCTCGTGACCGCCGGTTGGTTGCTTCATTTACTTTATATTCTCCACCTTTGGCTTGCCCAGGGACACTCTTACAGTTTCTCCCACTTTTTTGGTCTCCCCAGCGCCGCGTCCATAACGTCCCTAACCTAACCCCACCTCGGTTTGGTTTCGCCCAAACTGCTCTAATTGATCTGGGCTTCACTCTTTATTGCTCATTTATCTGTATATATTCCTTCCATCACCTCTCCTATCATGTCAGGAATACTGCGACGAGCAAAATCAACACGCGATGCTCGGGCAAAGGTTACCCGTGATCAGCTGGATTTCAACTTTGCCGCTGAAATAGGGAGTTTGGCACCACCAAAGGTGTCGGGCGGGGAACCACAACCCTCTAGCCCTCGAGGGCTCGGTCGGCGCAAAAGCATTTCAAGTTTTCATGCATCTCTGCGGATAGGAAATATATTTGACAACATCCCTAAGAGCGCGAATCCTTTGAATAGGCTTTCCATGCTCCCAGGAGGCGGCTCTACATCTCTACCAGAGTCTCCTCCGATATCTGCAATGAGGTTGTCCCCCATGCCTCCGGAACAGAGCTGTGATGGAGATGGAAGGGTAAATGAGCCGGAGAGGCCTTCGGATGATAGTTTGGTAGACGACACTGAGCTCCTTTATATTGGGATGGCAATTGGGAGCCCTACGGAGGTGCGGGAGGCAAGGATGGAGAGTTCAGTTGTTCCTTCATCGCTCGGTGTACGGCCAAGCGGTAATGACACACCGCAGTTTGCACTGCCGCCTGAGCCATTTGGTGTGGAGGTGCGAGGGCCAATGAGTGGGGCGGTTAGGAAGAAGCAACTGCAGAAGGAGGGAAAACATGGTGCTCAGGAGGAGAATCCCAAGAGTGGGTGGAAGAAATTGTTTGGGAGAAACTTTTTTGGTAAAAAGAATGCGCCCAAACCAACTCAGCAGTCTCCGCAGCCACCACCTACGCGAGACTCCATGGTGACAGCAGAGCTTAGACCGTTTCAATCCAAGACTCCATTCCTGATATCAAAATCGCATTTGAACAACCTAGCTGCGCCTCCGGCATCACCAGCACCTTGTCTCGATGTTGATATTCCCGAGATTGAGATGGAAAGATATAGCGTTATGTTTGGCACATTATTGCATCCGAGTGAGAAGTCATCATTATTCGCCCGCAGGAGGTCAAGGGATATTCCAGCTGCCAATGGGCAGGTGCGTTTCCTGATTAGGTGGTTTATGCAAGGCGCATTTCTGGCTAACTAAGTATAAAGACACAGCAAGCAGTGCCGCAACTGCATCTGAGGCCGCTAAAGCGCAATGCAACAACCGGTCAGGTTAGCCGCTCCCCTCGCTCCATGCTCGGAAATTCCCTCGGGAATGCTAGTCCTCGGCCCGGAGCGGGCCCGGCTCGAAGCCCACAACTCGCTCGGTCTAAGACAGTGGGGGGTGTCTCTCCGGCACCCTCGCCGAGAACAGTATATGTTGTGGATTCACAAAGCGCAGACAATTCTTCCATTTTAACGCCGGCTAGTCGCCCCTGCTCACTACGACATAGCTCTTCGGGTAAAATATCACGAATATCGGAGGAGTCTTCCATTGATACGCCGAGGGGCAGCTTCGACGAGGGCGACGATAGCTGGCTCACTAAGGACGATGGGGCGGAGCCGCAGTGGGAAATGATTAATCCTCAGGGCCGCTCGGCGCAGGATACGCCGAATACACCAATGAGCGAAGGTATGTCTTCACACCAGTGCTGGGGATGGGCCGGTTAAAAAGATAATACAACTAACGGATTATTGTAATAGAGGATATTGAATACGCCGCGCAAATTAGCATAGCTCGTCAAATCTCCGTCTCACAACGCCAACTGCTATTGCCGATTGTTCCCAGGTCACAGCGTCTCGTTAGTCGTGCACCACTGCGTAAACCGCCAAATCCGCCGCTGGCAGGGAACATCATGCCTAGATCTTCCAGCGCTGCTACAACGCACCCCTCCCCTTCCCCAGCCGCACCACTAACAGCAACGAAAGTTGGCAGCGCACGCTAGCTGCGTGCCTGTGTGTGTATGATGCAAGTGGGGGTTAAGGGGGGGTGGGTCTTGAATAAACCAGTTTGCTTCTTTGGGTAGGCTACAGATTGGTCCCTTAAATGGAATGACAATGGGGCTCCTGGTGGATTGTTCATTGATGCTCGAACGACCTGCCGGGTGGGGCGTTTGTTTATGGAGTATGGAGTTTCTTCTTCAAATGTCTTCGTTTTTAGTTATTTACTTTCCATCAATATTCATCCACTTTTTCATTTTTAGCGCCTCGCATTTTCATACCATAATGTCATTGATGACTTGAAGGAGGGAGTGGATGGTGAGAAGAACAAGAGGGAGTCATATGTTCGCCTTGTGGAAATTCCTGCTGCTTCGCGGGCATCATAAGTATAATAAAACTTATATGTTTCGCACAACACCATTTCCATGAGCCTAACTTATATCATAGCCTAACATTTTTCAACTGCATTAACCAAGCCAATTCACCACCCACCCGACCTCACCCATCCCCCCCCTCCTTCTCAATCCAAGTCCCAGGTACAACCTGCTTAGTCTGCAAGTGAACCCCCGTCCTCTGCATAAGCCCCAAATACCCATCGGACATCACAACCAATGTACCATCAAGCCCCTCTAGCACGCACCCCTCGGGCAACCCAAGCGAGAACTTGACACTTGGCTTCCCCCCTCCGGCTCCGCCGCGAGTCAACCATCCAACTCTCTTGAGAGCATGCAATTCATCCTTCCGAAAATCACCCAGTAGCACAAACCACCCTTCCGTTTGCGGCTTTGGAAATTTCGGAGCGTAGATGCGGAAGTCTCGGGATTGGGGTGCGTTCTGTCGGGTCAGGGTGGCGGAAAGGGTGGAGGTGGTAGCGGTAGTTGCGGAAATGGAGATTTGCGGGATTGAAGAGGCTGCAAGAAGGAACTGTCGCTATCAGTTAGTAACCTATTATAGCTGTGGAAGCACGGTGGAGAGGGAGAAGTGAAGTACATTACGACGGCCTACCCCGGCCTGCGGGATTCCTGCCCGGTCAGCGAGTTTGCGAAGGTCTTTGGCTGGCAGTTGCGATAGGCTTGCCAAATCCTTGGGGAGTAGCGGTGCGACGGTGTCGTTTTCGCGAAGTGACTTTTCGATGCTGGGTTCTATGCCTGGGAGGAATGACAGGGCACCATCGCCCGGCCAGCGGGCCTGTTTTATGCTTTGCATTAGGGTTATCATGGCGCTTGTAGTTGAGAGGTAGCCGAGTTCGGCAAGGACATCGATGGAAGCCTGTTTAAGATTAGCCATAAAGACAAACGGCTTTGAGGAAGGAGGGGGAGTACTTGGAGGATACGGATGGACTGGTCAAGAACCTGGCTAGAGTATTAGTTCATGAACGGTAGATTAGGAGACGAAGAGGGAATACGGAGTTTTGGTCGGTAATGTAATCCGATATCGGAAGTTCTATACGCGAAATGAAGGCCTGAACCAAGAGGAAGGCTTTAATGTGAGGGTCCCACATAGGGAGTCCGAGTTTCTCTGCCCTGAAGGGGAGGGCTTTTGAGAGCTCTACATTAATCAAATCCTAAAAGATATTAGTATGGTTTCGACTAGCCTTATGAAGAGAAAGTAATGAATACCTCATTATGCCTAACCGGAAGTTCTGTAAATTTTTTTGTTCAACGCTTCAGTTCAATAATAATCATGAGGAAATTTCAGGCAACGAACCATCGTATTCGGTAGCGGTGCACACCCACCCTAGGCAATCCTCGAGTGTGGCTTGCCGCTTTGCGTGGCGGACGAGATTTCTAATAGTTTTGTGGGACTAAACGGATGGAGAATTAGTATTATTTCTCAGAAAGGAGTTCCGGAAAACCCACAAGATAGTAATAGCTTGCGATCTTCCCCAGCGGGGTTGACTCGAGATCTCCGTTTGGATATGCTATTACACATTCAGATTTACTCAACTCTTTCACAGAATTGTCGACCATTTCCACCAAGTAACGATTTGCCTCTTCCATGGCTGATAAGGAGTCCTGCTCCTCTGGAGGGATTTCAAGCCCGTAGTACGTTGGGTTCTTGTGTAGTCTTCTGAAGAAAAAAGTCCATGTGAGGTAATCTAGGGCGTCTTGTTTTTTCGAAATTGTTCCTGAGGATACTTCGGCCCCAAGGTGGTCATCAACTACCTTGTGTAGTGAGGACTCTACTGGAAAGCCCGTATGGAGAAAGTACTTATAGAAGGATTTTTTGGCATCTTGTGTGAATATTCGGGCAATTCCAGCTAGATTACAAAGCTCAGTCGCCCGTTTATGTTAGTGGGGGGGGCGACACTTACATGTGTCAAACTGTGGACGCCCTGCTCTCCCTAGCATTTGAAGAACATCAGTCAAATCCATGTCCTTATATCCTTCAGTTTTGGCGTCAAAAAATTGTGTCCCTTTGACAATAACTAGATGAGCGGGGAGGTTGACCTAACTATGTTAGTATTAGGGATTTCTCGACTATCTTCCAAGGGAATCTTGTTACCCCCCAGGCAAGTGTGCTTGTAGCAACCAGAACTTGTATTCTATTATAGGTGAATAACTCTTCAACGAGTTGCCTATCGCTCTCAATCAGACCAGCATGATGGAGCCCAATACCAAACTGTAACGCTTCCCTTAGACTTTGATCTTTTACCTGTGACAAAAGGCCCCGCAGATCCTCTTCCGAGATGTGCAGAAACTGCCTTGGATTATCCTCAAGACCACAGAATGCGATTATGTCTTTGGCTGTAAGCCGGGTCTGCCTGCGCGATGCCACAAATATTATAACTGGCTTTCTCGGTGAGTGGGTCTTGATTGCGAGAAAAGCTGGCCTATTCATTGACTGCATCAAGGGGCAAAAGCCACGCCGTTCCGGGAAGCCGTCGATATAGATTTCCAGAGGCACTGGACGAACCTGGTGTAGGTTAGTAGAGAAAATAATTTTGGGGAGGGCTACCAACGGAGTGTCTGAAGTTATAGAGGCCATCTTTGACCCCAAGCCAATTTGAGAGGTCAGAAGCGTTTGCACAGGCAGTTGACAGCCCCATTATACGAACTGGGCGATCCGTCTGCGAGGCAATGTAATTCATTCTTGAAACAATAATCTCGAGAATTGGGCCTGAAAACCGTCAACAAGGTAACATCAAAAAAGCTTCGCATATTTGCACACCTCGGTCACCGCCTAAAAGATGTATTTCATCAATAATTACAAGAGATACCTGCCGGACATAGTTTCTTGTTTGCCAGCTTCTAGATATACCATCCCATTTTTCAGGAGTTGTGATGATTATATCAGCATCATGAATGGTTCTTGTATCTGGCGTATTGTCCCCAGTGAGTTCCACAAGTTTCAAACTCATGGGAGCTGTCAACCTTGCGTTCCAATCTTTAACGCGCTCGCGGACAAGCGCTTTCATTGGTGCTATGTAGACTACTTTTGAGCCAGGGTTTTCACGGAATGCCCACCTGACAGCGTTAGCAATTCCTATATATTCCTTTTCGTACTCTTTGAGTAACTCACCACATCGCTAGCTCACAAGCGATAGTCTTGCCGCTGCCAGTGGGAGAACCGAGTAATACGTTCGAAGGGGTGTGGTAGAGGCAATGAAATATTTGGGTCTGCATTGGGTTGAAATATTGAAATTTCTTGCCGTATATTGTTTCTAGACGTTCATCCCTCAAAGCGGTAATAGGTAATGGCTGAAGGTTGAGTAGTGGTGTATATATTGCTTCGGTATCAGGCCTGATAAGATGCTGAAAAGATATTGGGGTTACTGTTTCGGCACCCAGCCAGCGGTCCGAAACCACCCTAATATATATTTGGGGCGGCAGCGGGTCCGACAATGGAATAGTGAAATTCAGCTCATGGTCATCATGTAACTTCCTGCGGTTGAGAATAAAGAATTCAGAGTGATATATTTCAAATGTTTCGGAATTTTCAGCCCAAATCCAATAGCTCTCCGAGTTTCCGTGTATCCTATCATCCCATCGAAAATCTGGAGTAATATAAAGATGTATCCGTAGAACGTCGCGATTCAACGGAGCAATTTCAGTGTCTACACTAAGAGTAGGAAAGATAGCTAGTAGCGAAGATATTTGAGGTCCCATCTTTTGGTTATGGACAAGATCACCAATCTGCGTACTTGTTAGAAGGCATTCTTGAATATTATTTTAATGGACCTTAAGCTTGCCTCTGCTGGATCCATATCTCGAAGGACCTCAATTGAACCTGTTGATTCCAGCTCTTCAAGCTTTTGAACAATATGAGGTGGGAGTCTGAACTGTGCGAGTGGGTGCTGATATGACCATATCCTGTAGATATCGGATTAGTAGGTTAATTCGTCTGGTTGTGGGGCGCGTGTGATCTGTTTGAACCCACTTCTTCTCTATCGATTTACAAATGGAAAGCAGAATTTGGCACAAATTTCCCCAGCGTCGGTTGAGTGCAATGTGAAAGAGTGCACGACAGATCCTGGCCGAGTTTTGAGCAACATATGCAGAATCAGATACTAAAGCGAAGTCATCTAGATTGGCTTTGGATATGTAAGACTAAAAGAGCTAAGGTTAAAATGATGGCTACAAGTTCTGGGAGTAAGCTGAGTACCTGTAGCAGGATATTGACTTTGGCATGCGGGCTGCCTTTGGCACCGCCAACCTGGCAGGGGCACACAGTTTTACGGAGGTTTTCTAGTTCTTGACTTTCCGTATCTCTCGACTGTATGTTGTCAAATTCTCCGCTAAGGCTGAGCATGGTAAGTATGTCAGCTTCTGTGGCCTGAGATTTCATCATGTTATTGAATATCTCAACACTATTGTTCAAGATGTAGAAGTCGCTCGCAATTCGCCCAATGTTCTTTGGGGTTAAACTCTGTGTTTTCTCGTCAAAAATAATCATCTGCGTTTGCTGGAGGCGCCGGGCTGCCTTGACGATCAATTGCTTTCGCTGAGAGTAGAGGTGAGGATCGTCTGATAGCTCCTGCCACCCAATTCCATATACTAAAGGGTTTTTCTTCCACCTGACGAACATGTACGAGTAGCCCAGCCATTGAATTCCTTCTTCAATTGAAGTGACGGTTCCCAATGCAACCTCTGCATTTAGATTGTCTACAATCCTTTCTGTAAATCTTGATTCGATAGGATGCTGTTGGGTAACAGCAGAGAGATAATGGGCTAGTTTGTCATGCGAAGTGCAAATGAAACCAATTCCGTACTGCTGGAATTGAGGTCTTCCCGCTCTTCCAAATATCTGAAGAACATCGAGGATACCAAGATCCATGAACTGGCCCTTCTGTGCATTATAGACCTGGGTACCTTTTATTATGACCGCTGCCGCAGGCAGATTAACACCCCATGCAAGTGTTGCAGTGCAGCAGAGAACCTTAATCAAACCATCCCCAAACATCTTCTCCATGAGGTTCCTGTCTGATCTTGGCATCCCGGCATGATGGATACCGAATCCCTTCTTAAAAAGCTCCCGTAATTCTCTTCCTTTGGATCGTGCAATCTCCTTACACGCTTGATTATATTGATCATGTCCGGTATTGTCAAAGAGCTCAAGGCACATCTCATCCACTGCCATCTGGTAGAAAAGTCTAGCAGTTTTCAATGTATCTTTACGAGAATGAACGAATACCATGACTTGGTGATTGCGTTGAAGCATTTCTTTCACTTTTTCAAAAGAAGTCTTATCAAGGTTCTCGTTAGAAAGCTTTGTTCCGGGTTTTCCTTTTACACCCAGGAAGTGTTGTTCGAGGGGAACTGGGCGAAATGAGGCGTCAAAATAAAACAGCCCTTGGTTAAGGTTTACTTTCAGAAACAACGCAACATCAACGAAGTTGGGAAGTGTGGCTGATAGCCCAACAATCCGGATCATTGATTGGGTTGATTCAACTTGGCGCTGGGTCCTTGCGACCAGACTCTCAATCACGGCTCCGCGCTCATCATGGAGCATGTGGACCTCGTCGATGATGAGCAACCGGACCTTTTGAACCAATTCAGTATCCCCTGTTGACTTCCGAGTGACAACGTCCCATTTTTCTGGTGTAGTGACGATAATTTGTGTGCGAACGATTTCAGCTTTTGTCAAATGCATATCGCCTTGGCTAGAGTTTAGAACTAGTGATGATGAAAAATAGATTTAGCTGTTCACCTGTCAATTCACGAACTTCGATACCTAGCCAACGAAGACGTTTGCCTAGTTTCTCCACTATCTCGGCGGCCAGGGCCTTCATGGGAGCAACATAAACGATCTTGAATTGGTCTTTATCGCAGTATATCGGGGCGTCACCTGAAGTGACACCTGGTGAGGGGGTACAATCCATACTAATGGTATGCAAGATGGTAAGCAGAGCAGCGTCGGTTTTGCCCTAAAATCGATAAGAAATATTAGCTGATGTCCAACATAAGAGTGCAAAAAATGACCCACAGCTCCCGTAGGTGCACATATCAACATGTTTTCATTTTTTTGATAAGCGACGGGGTAGACAAGGGACTGCATCCGGTTTAAGGACTTGTAGTTACGGAATGTATTACGACACAGGATGTCCATATCCTCGATTTGAACGAGCTTCTCTCCGGCACGAACTGTGCCGACCTTTGTTGCGGGTATCGAAATTTCTTCGTACTCCTGGGCGGTATGTTAAGTTTTGAGATTTAAAGTTGTGGGGGAGCTAAATGGATACCTTGTGATCAGTAGTTTGAGATCCTACGGGCAATGAATACTTTTTGCCCCAGGAACTTAAGGTGTTGCCTGCATCATGAGCACGATACACATGAGGATAGTTTTCCACGGGTTGGGAAAGCTTAGGGCCCAAAGGGAGAGATTTATGCTCTAGTTCTGATTGCCTGAGTGCTTGGTTACGCTCCTCGCGTGTTAGGAGCCGAAGAGCGGAGTCTGGCGCAGATAGGGGCTTTTGGGAAGGAGAAGGAAGACCGAAAGGGGCAAGTTCCGTGCGGTGAACCATCAGGTCCATGACAAATTCGAGTTCGTCTAGGCCTAAAAGGTCAACCAGACGAGATTGTAATTCTTGGTCTGGTGAGGAGTAGAGTTGAAGGTAAAACATTAGCCCTCAAAACAGGAAAAAGGAGTCAAGGATTAGGGACCATCATCAATGGAGCCGAGCAAACTGAGAAGATGTTCTCCCAAGTCAACTGCCGTCATCCCGGAACGCCGGTGCGTGGGGATGGCATTGCACTTTGCTAAGAGCCGGGAATGATCGTGGATTGGGGGATGCGCTGCTTCGCCGGTTGATAGAGAATATGGAGCACTGTCCCTCGAAAGTTCACCGAAAAGATCGTCGGCAGTGCGAAGAGATTCAACTTGCTCCTCATGGGGCGGCAAATCTAGACCATATTCGGTAGAAGAAGGGAGGTGGGACCCGGGGAAAGCCAATAAATGCGCCAGGGCATCATCCATCCGAGAGAGATGTCGAAGCCATTGGAAGGCGGGAGACGGTAGCGCAGACATGAAGAGCGTCGAGGAGAGTAAATATGTTGCGTAATAGGTGAGGGCAAGGCGCTGATATGGAGGAGAATGGGTGCGGTAGGTGGAGGTTACTTAGGTGGTACAGAGAGGGAGGACAGATGACAAAGACTCGGGTGTAGTACAAGATTAGGCCTAGCACAAGTACAAGTACTCTTACTCGAGTATTCACCCAATAAACTACAAGTATTTAAGATATCGTCTTGGCAATCATGGCTTGTCATTCGCCCAATCATTGGCACACATTGTTGGAATGTGGGGATATAATACAAGGACCAGCTAGCAATGGGGAGTTCTGAACCCTTGGACGATGAGCTGGTGCAGCAGCGCTCTGCGGTCCGTGGGGCTCTGAATACCGACAACCCATATAGGGGTCAGTAGGGTATAAAGTAATGTACTTCTCGCACTGCAGTCAAGGAATCCTTTAGTACAATTTCACTCCTGCTTGTCGATATACCTGTCCCAGAATTTCAAAAGGTTATGGGCATTTTGTCACTGCTAATATCATCAGATCTCCTTCCTCGTTAGATATCGCATCTTGTCTGTGCTCTGAGAACACTGTTACCTAGGGTACGGGAACGTGAATCAACAACAATGTGGGATTTATCAAAATCCAATGTTACATAAAAACCGTTTTCACCAGTCATCAGCTCCTATCATACCAACAATGACACACACTTTCGCTGTCCTGCTAGGGCTGCGCCAACTGTACAACAGACGATTAGAGTTGCTGGGAAGATAGCATCACCGTTCTCCTAATAGCGTCTTGAGCCACCCCAGCAGGGGTGTATTTTGTCCCACATATGACTACTATATAGCTCATGTGGCAGCTATCATGTTCGTGGTAGTCAACACACTACGAGTATCATACGAGTACTATACCTTGAGATCCCGATGGTATCAAAAATACTCCCTATCTTCACATATTGATATAGTACGAGGTTGCGGGAAGAGGTCCACGGACCGTACTGACATCACAGAAAATTAACTGTGATGCTTTACGTTGGGCGATATGCAAATTTTTCAACTATTTCATTCGAAATGTTTGATACACTTGCCAATTTCCCAAAGTACTCCGGTCTGGGGATAGGAAGCGCCAAAATTTCTGAATACTTTTAGAATGAGGAGGTACCGATTCTGTCGCATGCGCTTCACGGGTTTTTTTCAGGACGGTGCGATATTTGTGCTGTGCAGTGCCACATGATCGCACTTAGAGGGGTATGGCATATCCTGCTATCAATGCGGTATCTTAGGCAGAAGCGGGGTGTTGTTGGCACAAACTTGGGGAGACTGGTTGGATGGTGCTGATATATTCACGAAGTTCCACGAATGGCTCCGCTTTCTTGAGCCCCCAAGAATTCCAAAAGTCGGACGGCTTCATCACCCATCGTCTACAATTTCCTAAGCATTAAGAACAGAAAGAAAAAAATGTTGCAACAATTTAGTCACAATATCAACTCTTTCAACACGATTATTAAGAATGACTTTGCTGTTGCTGATGACCGATCCAATATCCTTACCTGGCTATTCCCTCTGGGGCCCACGTTGCGGCACCGAGACATTCGGGACCGCTGAGTTGAAAACGTAGGGGAATGGCTTTTACAAAACGAGGAATTTAGAAGCTGGTATACCGGTAGTGAGGGGGGTGAATCCGATAACGCAGTTGTGTTTTGCTATGGGAATCCGGGGGTGGGCAAAAATTATATTGGGTAACAAGGACGAACCACAGGGAATGGAAGAAAAGGGCAATCACTGACAAGTCGTGGTGTTAGCTCATTGGTGATAGACAAGTTGTGGGATCAGGCTGGAGACCCAAATACATGTTTATGTTTTTATTCTGGCTTCGCCGCCCAAGGGGAGCAGTATCCCCACAAGCATGCTAGGTGCTCTGCTGAAACAACCGGTTTTCGGGCTGGGGGATCTCCCGGAGGAGATATCATATATCATGAGTATACCAAACCCAAAACAAAAATGCCATTGATGGGCAGGTACCGCAACCTATATTGGGGGATTCAAGCAAAAAGGGACCTCTCAGCTTGCACGAAATTGCTTGCGCTGAAGCTATTTGACGACCGTAATAACCACATATCCACCGAAATTCTATTGAAAGCACAGAAATGATGTTCGCATAGGATTGATTTCGATAAACTTTCCCTATTTTTTTGGCTTACACCATGCATCCACTTTTGGGATTGCTGAGATTGGTTTGGTAGAGGTGGAAGGCTGTGGTATTAGCCAAAAAGATTGTGTGGGTATCATAATACACCTTTTGTGGGGGCAGCTTGGAATGGGCACGAGGGAGTGGTGAAAATACTACTTGAATGGGACGATGTCAACCCTGACAAGCCGGACGGATCGAACACCACTCTTTTGCGCTGCTGAGAGTGGGCACGAAAGAGTGGTGAAAACACTGCTCGGACGGGGCGGCGTCAACCCCGCCAGGCCAGACAAAGCAGGCCAAACACCACTCCGGTCGGCTTTTGCGAAGGACCATGCGGGGGTGATAGCGCTGCTATAGCACCTGACATCTGCCGCCCTCGACACTGCCTGAGGCACAGGATTCATCGCCCTCCTTATCGCCTTGGAATGTGGATAACCTATTCCCCATTCCACAACGATTGCAAGAGCTCCATCAGCATGTCTATCGCCGCCATTTCCCCCCTCCCTCCTCTCATCCCCGCCCAGCCCCCTCCCGCAGTTTAAAACGCCTTCTTATAGTGATTGCCCTCTTTCTCTTCCTTTTAGGGTTAGCCCACCGCGGGGACTTGACTTGGATGTTTTTCTTTTGGTCAAAGTAAATCTTATGCAATGGGAATGCAGATACAGTATCTATCATGTGCCCGTACACAGTCCGTATTCGTTTTCCTATGTTGCCCAGTCAGATTTGTCAGTTTCTTTTTATCGTCTAGAGTTTGGCGTTGGTGGAGAGGGCTGTTTCCGCCATAGTGAGATGAGCTGGGGTGGCCTGGGATTTTTATCATAATAATTATTATTATTATTATTTGCTTTTATTATTGTTGTTTTCTGGTTGTAAATCTTCACTACACATAATCTTCACTACACATTTATTTATTATTCCTTTTTATCACTGCTACAGTCTCTTTCCCCCCCCCCCTTTCCTCCAATCCAAAGTATAGACCGAAGGCCATTTATTCTAGATATATATAGGATGGCAAATGTGAAGCGCAGGTGGCTCCGCCACCCGTAAAAAGCGACGTAAATTCTAACCGTTAACTACCCGAGTATCTCGCACTTATAAAATTTAATGTCTAGTGATGGTTTATTTCGCCATAGGAGCCCACGCCGGGAAAGCAGCCGTAAATCAGGTCTGGCTCATTATAACGGGCGGACCCCAAATCGCTAACGGGTAGATTAGGGTGGGCAAAAGACTTAGGATGAGGGAGAGGTGCGTCGGTAATGTGTGATGAGAACTGTGTGCAGGAGGACGCTACAGAGTAGAATATGTTTATGCCACTTTTTGGTGACTTGTTGTAATAGACTACCTGGGTTATTATACTGTAGGCTACGCCATGGGATAAGTTGAGCTAGCTCGGGTCTAATGTCCGGCTTATCTCTATATCGGTATACGAGATGCAAAGGTAACTAACTAAAGTTAGTTGTCTCTATCTGTTTATATAAACGACCGTGGAAGCGTCTACTCCAAACGGAAGAGGGAAGCTACCCCAGGATTATTTGAACGCGAAAGTAATATACCACACCAGAACTTTATCTCCAATCCTCTTGAGCCTTCGAGATAGTCTAAGCTATTATACTGTATGTGGCCTTTCTACTAACCAACTAGGGCAATAGAGATTGAAATCGGTGAGAAAGTAATGTACGAGTAATGCTTCTCCTTCAGAGATTAATAATAATCACTGCCCACACAAGCACATTTCTCTAGATAGGGAAACAATACAAATAAAGACAAGTGTGTAAATTGTTTATTTAGTTTCCGCTCCTCCTGCCCAGGAAGGCTTTTTTTTGAGAAAGCCGTTGAGAGAGCGCCGGGATATGAGCTCTCCACTACCTATCACAGACCGTAATTTCATACACACACTCACACACCACCGGAGTACGCAGGAACTCTCCAGACTAATACAGCGATCAAGAAACCGGCGGGGGCAAGAGCTACAGCAGGAGGTCAAGTAAGAAACATATCCTAGCCAGTTGGTCTCCTCGGAAGTCAAGACATACCAGCCCTCAAGGCGTCGAGTGGTATCATAGCCCAGATCCCGGTTGCCGCATTCTTGCCCTACCATCTCTAGCTGTGGGGAGCACATTGTTAACTTGAGCCAGGATGTAGTACTCTCCGTATACCCCCCCCCCAGCAACACGTGAAGCTGCCATTTGAGGCCCAACTCCCCGGGGAAGGTAGGAGCTGTATTCACCCACCTTCCTGCCAGTCACCCCATCGCAAACAATTGGGTTTGGTGGTGATTTGGTGACTTCGTGTCGAGGATGCAAGTTTGCCTATCTGTTGCAATTTATCACATTAATGATATTTTGCTCAATTCCTGAACCAAGGTAGTCCCAAGAACAAGTGGACACAGTTCCTTTATTGACTAGGTAATCACCATGCCAAGGACACTGGTGGGAGACCGGATAACCACACATACCCATAAGTCAACCTCCACAAGGTCATGATGCGCCTACCCCTATAGATGCCAGGTGGCCGTGACTTGGTTTCTAAGTGCTGCATTCCCGCCCAACTATATCCGATGGTACAGAATACATATTTTTCAAAAGCAAGGACATAGTCCTCTCTGTATCATATGCCCCTTGCCACTCGAAGTACATACCCCGTAGTCTCGTATGATAATGCATCTATCTGAAATAGAGTCAACCACTCCAATGTCAGTCAAGTTACCCATCATTTGTTTCATCAAAAGAACTAGCGAGTGGATCGTAAGCGTATATCAGACTACGAATCTCGCTTAAAAGTGGGTTCACCACAAGAACCTACCCTCACGAAGTTGTTAGCGAAACATCCCAAAAAGAGAGAACGACAGAAGGGAAAAAAAGACAGAGAATGGTGTTCGTGGATGTGGGGGACGGAAGATGGGTCCTTTATATAGGCGGGCCGGACCAGCCAAAAGTGCTTTTGTATGATATTCCATGGAGAGTATATAGGACTCTGGATCGCAGGAGTATTTAAGGATAGGGCTAAAAACCGGCCCTCCAGTAGTTAGATTGGACAGGTGGTGGAGTCATGTGTTATCACTCGGTGGGGGGTTGCTTGCCTTGTGGAACGTACGCCAATGGCTCTTATGATAATCGGGGCCATGATACAGTGGTCACTAACAAAGAGGGAGGGGCCGGGACAGAGGGAAGAAAGGTATCCGATCATTCATTACTCTAGATGGACTGTGCATACAATAATTTTATTATAAGAAAGATATACGATAAATTTGTAATTTTCATGCCACATCCTATGATAGATTTCTCCCTAATATTCACCTCAAACTTTGCCCCCCTCATCCCCCCCTTCAAGCGCGGTATCAATCGCCTGCTTAAGCGCCTGGACGAAATCCCACACTTCTTCAAAGGTATTATAAAGAGGCAATGGAGCAACTCTGATAACGTCCGGTTTCCTTTCATCGACAATAATCCCACGCTCCTGTAGTCCATCAAATACCTGCATCATAAGTCCTCCTCTAAAAAGTAGTGACAGTTGTGCCCCGCGTGCTGCTGGATTCCGTGGGGTGATAATTTCGAAAGGCTTCGGGCCGCAGGATTCGAACTGGGAGTGGAGGAGGTAGTCGAGGTAGCCAGTCATATGGACAGATTTTGTCCTTACGGCGGCCATTGTGGCATCTGAGTAGAGCGATAGGGAAGAGAGGAGGGCGGTTAGGTCGAGGATTGAGGGATTGGACATTTGGTAGCCTGCTGCACCGGACATGGGGCGGAAAACTGGTTGGTCATCAACAAATAATTCTCAATGGTAGAGGGGGAATGATGAACCATTATCCATTGTGAACCGTGAAGCCTTGTCATGGCCCCACCAACCGGCAAGTCGGTGTCTTTCGGACGATGCATGTTTCTCGTGCACAAAGATTCCAGCAATACCACCGGGCCCACTCGAGAGGTATTTGTAGGTGCACCATGCAGCCTATGATTGTTAGAACAAGGGAAATGTACGCCACTCGGCAAAAGTCTTGGTGAAACAGAGCTCCCCTCTGGTGGAGATTAGGGTGGCTCGGGAGGTATTGCGCAATTAGGGGATGCGTGGGGGGAGGGGTCAGTCCCACGAGCCGAGAGAAATTCCACTTCACCAAGGCTTTTGCCAAGTGGGTGAATATACCCCAAGAAAGCACTCACAAAATCAACACCCCATTCGTGAAGCTCAAGCAAAATATTCCCAACAGCATGTGCCAAATCCCAGCCCACAAGAATGCCTTTGCTCTGAGCATATCTGGTGATGGCTTTAAGGTCGAATACCTGACCGGTGTAGTATTGAACGCCGGAAAGCCAAAGGACAGCAGTGGTGGAAGCGTTTCCATCGATTACACGATATATCTGGTCCGTGGTCAAAACCTTCCTACCCCCTTCTGGAAATATCGTGACAAGGGCATCTTCCGGACTTAGCCCGTGCCACTCAATCTGTGACTCAACAGCGTACTGTTTTTGCATTGGTTGTCAGATCGGAATGCGTAGCAAGGAGAATAATATCTTACATGATCACTCGGAAAGGCCTTCCCTTCAATGATAATCTTGTACCGGCCTTGCTTCGTAACGTCCGGCTTGTAGAAGCTCGCGAAAAGGGTATGAATATTTGCTGTCAAGGTTCCCATAGTGGATACCTCCTCGGACAGAGCTCCGACGACATTCGCCATGCGCACGTTGACCTCCTCGGCAGCAGAGACCCAGGGCCGGGAAAGTGGGTGGTCGAAATGTCCTTGAACACCACGGGTAGCCCAAATTCTAAGCTCTTCCGCGATCAACGCTTGTGTATTCTTCGGCTGGAGGCCCAAAGAGTTCCCACAAAAGTAGATGCATGGGTCCGAAGGATCTACAGCTGGTTAGTAATGTGCTCCCACTCGGAAGGGGTTGCTGCTCCTACCATTGCATTGGTCCACGGGTTTTGTTTCAGGATGAGGATCCTTGAGGTCCGCTTTGGAGGGAATAAGGAACTCCTTTCGAAAACTAGCTAGCGGATCACTTGTATCCAGACGGCGAGCAAACTCTCTGGTACTGGATCTAAAGTCGTCAGAGTGGAATGCCCCGCCGTGAATGAATTGATATAGTTGGGCGGAATCCATGCTTATGAAGGTGAGGGTCTAGTTGGAAATAGTCGGTCTCAAGGAATGGAAAACAGTAGTCTAAGCAGTAAGCAGTAAGCAGCAAGCAGCAAATTAGACTCACCCTCTGCGTAAAGTCGTCAGGCAGCTAAGTTACGGGTGGTGTGGGGTGGCGAAGGAGGAAAAAGGGTTTGTTATAGGAACCGAGCCCCTCGGTTTGCTGCGGTATAATAGTTTATGTCAAGGTATATTTTCCGATTTGTTACGGGTATGGTTCAAGTTGCAGGTACAAGTGTAGAGGTGGGAAGAAAGTCACGAGATCTTGATTAGCAACCGCATCTACACAGAAGCTACGTATCATATTCCATAATTTACCTGTAACCGCGGTACCGGTACTCGAGCACTCCGGTGAGCTTTGATAACCATCTCCTTGGTTTCAACGCCACACATGGTAGCCTGCAACTATCTGCTCCGTCTTCTCTCATCCATTCCCACGAGAAGGTTATCCCTGCAAGCCTTTCCTCCTGCTCTTCCTCCCACATATCCATATATCCAAACCAAAAACATCCCACCGCCTATTAGCTATGAATGCTAGTCTACGAATAGCTTCGAGATTTGCTACTGTACGGCCATGCCTTTCAGTCACCCCTGGAGTCCTCCTTAGAATCACCCCCGCCACCGCTACAACTGTTACAAATGTATTTCCGGCTGTCCGTGTCGGAGGTGTTCGGACTGCGAGATTGTCCACTTCTGTGCCTGTCCGTGCTGCAATTGTTATGAATCCGCGCACCGATCAATCCGGGTCTTTGATGAAAATCGACATATCCCAGCGTGCAGCGAAGGTATGCATCCCTATTCTTTCCTCCTCTTCCTCTCGTGATTATCATTCAGTGAAACCATGGTTTTGACATTCACAGCGACTCAAGGAGATACAGCTTAAGGATTCCAACCCCAACCTCGCCTTACGGATAACCGTGGAATCTGGAGGATGTCATGGCTTCAAGTACACCATCTCGTTGTCGGATACATTTGACGAGGAGGAGGATACGTCGGTTGTCCCTTTCTCTTTCAAGCGTCTCTGGACAATGTCGCACTAATCTGAGATATACCGTAGTGTATTTGAGGAGGACGGTGCAAAAGTTGTTATGGACGAACCTTCCTTAGGTCTTCTGAAAGATAGCACTATCGACTACACCACCGAGCTTATCGGTAGCCAATTCAGAATTGCCAATAACCCTCACGCGACTAGTTCTTGTGGTTGCGGAACTAGTTTTGACATCAAATCCTTATAAAACTCGATCAATTGGGATTGGGGATGACACTCACAGCAGTACAGTACCAGTAATAATGGTATAATAATACACGGATGGGACTTTACTTGCGGCTTTAAACAATTTTTTTTCTCATTACTATTTACCCCTATCTCGTTTCTCACTTTTCCCTTCTCCCTGTTCCAAAATTACTGTTCCACATACCGAGGCTCTGGTGTTGGGACTTTTATTCTGTTCCTCACTTGCCAATAGACTTATGCTGCAGTATCATACTTAATCCCTTGGCGACCTATTGCGGCTCAAAAAGTTTCTTATCTACGGGAAAAAAGAAAAAAGAAAAAAAAACCAACCCCACCTCATCCCATATTCTGACATCAAGTAATCTGTCCACCATTTCTCCCAAGAACCACCACTACCTCAACAATTGCCCGAAACATGTTGACAGAGGACCAAACCCCGATCGACACCCTCGTCATAGACGCCAGTCCTCTCATTAGAAACGATTTCACAACCAGCATCCTCAACAGAGTGGGGAAATTATATTCCACCCCCGCCGTCATTGCCGAGATTCGTGATGTCGCTACAAGGTCTCGTTTAGAGACCACGTGGCTTCCCTTACTTGCTTTGCGCACTCCGAAACCGGAGAGCGTTAAGGTTGTCAGCGACTTTGTGAAGAAGACTGGTGACTTTCCAGTCCTTTCGGTAACCGATTTACAGCTGCTCGCTCTGACATATGAACTGGAGGTGGAGCTGAATGGAGGCAATTGGAGATTGAAAAATGAACCTGGGCAGAAGAAAATTAATGGGCCTGTCCCCAAACCTGCGAGGGAAAGTGAGGAGGGGAAGAAGGTGGTGGAGGAGGAGGGAGTGGCCAATGACCGCGAGAAGACTGAGGACGGTGGTGATGCAGAGACCGCCGGTGTGATTGATATATCGGCTGCTTCAGCTGAAGATGACCTGTCCCAGAAGTTGGACAATACTCATATTCTTCCCGACAAAATAGCCCCCACCGAAGCTTCGGGATCCACAGAACGGGCTTCATCCCCGCCACCGGGACCCATTGCAAATGAAGACTCCAACCCACCATCCTCCACATCTACCTCCTCCGAAGATTCCGACTCCGACGCCGACGGCTGGATAACCCCCTCAAACCTGCACAAACACCAATCCAAATCCACCACCTCCCCCCCCCCCTCCTCAACAAGCCCCACTAAAAACCCATGGCCCATCCGTGCCGCTCTCGCAACCACAGACTTCGCCCTCCAATCCGTGACCCTACAAATGAACCTCCACCTCCTCTCCACAAAAACCCTGCAGCGAATCCACACCATCCGCTCACACGTCCTGCGCTGCCACGCTTGCTTCAAGTTGACGCGCGACATGGCAAAGCAGTTCTGCCCCGTGTGCGGTGGGCCGACGTTGCAACGCGTGTCCTGCTCCGCCGACTCGAAGGGTGCGTTCAAGATCTACTTGAAGCACAACTATCAGTGGAACAACCGCGGGAGCGTATTCTCGCTGCCGAAGCCCACGCATGGAAGCGCCAACGGGAAGGGCGGCAGGGAAGTGCTGATTCTCCGGGAGGATCAGAAGGAGTATGAAAGGGAGGTGGCTAGGGGCGAGAGAAGGAAGGAGAGGGATTTGCTGGATCCCGATTACTTGCCCGGGATATTGACGGGCGAGAGGAGGGATGCTGGGGGACGGCCCAGGATTGGGTACGGTAAGAGGAATCCGAATGTTGCAAAGAAGGGGGGGAAGAAGTGATCATACCTCTCCGTCTTTCCCTTTCGCACTCCCCTCTTTGCTGTGCTTTTCGATCTGTCACTGGCGGGTTAGAGTCTGGTTTCTCAAGTGTTCTTGTTTCTTCTTTTCACCATATAAAAAGTTTACATCTGTATTGTTAGTTCTATGAACCATTTAAAGTCGCTATTCTCCCTACAGGTAAAACGTTCCATCTCACATATATAGACTAAGGTCCACAACACAAATCATGTCTTCCTCCTCAACAAGCCCCTAAAAAAGTCAAAACTATTGTTGTCACTCTGCAGCGTAAATGACCGTCCTGTGACCCTACCGCTCTCATCCAACTCATCCGCCGTCAAAAGCCCATAATCCGTAGTAATCCCACGAATCCTAGCCTTCCTTCCCCCCTCCATCTCCAATCGAACAACCTGCCCACTAAAACTCATCATCCCATAATCAGCAAACATATACCTTTTTTTTTTTTTTTTTTACATCTGTTCTAATCGCAAAACAAAAACAATAACGCACAACTCAATCATAGCACAGACCTATGCAGCCAATGCTTGTAATATAGATCCTCGAACGGAGCAAACCCACTACGGCAGAACTGGTAGTACATCTCCTCGAAGACGACCAGGATCTTGGCCAGGAGGCGCTCCTGCTCGAAGGCCGGTAGGCGGGATAGGCCCTTGGACTTGCGGGTTCTGTTGAGCTTGTCTAATATGTGGTTTAGGGAGGTTGTGGGAGCATTGTTTGTTGTGTTTATGCCGCAACCGACGACTAGGAGGAATTGGTTGTTGGCGTAGCTAGAGTTCACTAGAATGCCAGCTATCTTGAGGAACTCGTTTTCGTTTTTGGGATTCGAGGCGTCTGGTTGTTTGGGAGATCAGTTTGGTGGTTGGGAGTGGGAGAGTACAAAAAGGGCGGTTACAGATGTCATTGGGCCATTTAAGGCGGATTGGCATGTCGCCGAAACCTATATCGTAGGTCTTGATTGCTTCGACGATGGCGAGGGCGACTAAGTATTGGACGAAGACTACTGGTGCTTGGACACTTAGTTCTCTGGGGTGCCGGATGCAGGTTGAGAATACGAGTGCTCCCATGGGGGATACCCAGATATTGGATCCGCGGCCCCGTCCGGCAACTTGGAGCGTAGCCACCGCTGTTAAGCCGCTCGGGAGGCGTTGGAGGAGCTCGAAATTTCTAATTTATCCATGTCAGGTATACCTTAGGCTTTGATAGTAGGATAGGGGCATACTTGTCCAGCATGGTATTCGTACTAGTAACAACTTCTCCATAAAGAAGGAAGGAGCCGAAAATTTCGGGGGAAGAACGAGATTGAGATCTGTAACGCTCGAGATGCTTGAAATAGGCGGTATGATCAAAGTATGGCGTTTCTTTAACAGATGGATGCCCTGAATCATGAATTCGTACATGTTTCTCTACCTTGTTGTAGTCAATGATTTTATGGGGGGAATCTTGTTCTCCAATCAGCGCGTCTGCGAGGGATACCACAGAGAATGCCTCTGGGTTTCTTTTTAGGATAAAGGTGTCGTTCTCTCCAACTATCTTTTGCTTTTCTCCGCCGACGACCGATATTTCCTTCAATCTATCTGCTAGATGTCCGACATCTGCTGGGTTTGTGGAGGAGAGGTGGAGTAGCGATAAAGTTGGGATGGCACCAGCCTCGTCTGAAGCACTAAGTCCCAACTTTATTAGACAAGCCCTCAAGAAGGCTTCACGCTGTGTGTCAGTTTGCTCTATCAGCTCTATTCTCTCGCGGTACTCGCTGTCCCCGGCGCTCCTGTCCAGATTTACAGCAGCAAATCTGTGGAATCAGCGCACGTCACCTAACATTCAGAAGGGGGGTGGGGGGATCGTACTCAGGGTGTGGACCAGTTAGAATAGCACCCCCATTACCAATTTTGCAATATACCACCGCAGCATCCCCACCCTCCACGCTTAACTTCTCTTTCTCTTCAAAGCGTGCAAGAACCTCGACACCTCCATCGGCATACTTATCCGCATCAACAAACAATCCTCCACCATTGTAGTAGGAGTTAAACCCCTCCAATTCGCTATCTCCAAGAGCTTCCTTTTCAACCTTGATCTTAGGAGCCCTAGCTCCCTTCTCACTTGCATACTGAAACCCGGCAAATGCAGCGCCTCTGCAAGCCCCCGGGAAGAACTGGAGCTCTCTACTGCCCACAACTTCCATCTTTCCATTTCCGACCTCAAACTCCACCATCTTGCACCCGTAGTAACCCCCAGCACAAAACCCAATGAATGCCCCACCCTTACGAACGAATTGGGCTATCCTCCTATTTCCCTCGCCATTAAGAACTCGACAGTACCCGAGGTCTGCACCGCCGGGTATAATGAGGAGTGCACAAGATGTTTCCCACGGCTCTTTGAGAAGCGTGTCGGCCGCTGCTGGGATGACGGCGTAGTGGGGTGACAGAAGTCTGCGGAGGGAGTAGAGACAATGTCTCACTGACTCAACCGTTGTTCCTGTACCTATTGTCTGTGTGAGCCCTATGTCACACGGCTGACGGCTCGGTTATTCCAGAGAGAAGGTACAATACCGGAGTACACCAGCACATTCATTCGACCCATTTTTAGAGCGATCAGTAGATTTAAATTCGAAGAGCCGAAAATTGGGGTGCTCGATGGATTGAAAAGAGTCTGAGGTGATATCAGCGTACCATACCGATAACATAGGTCACAAACCCTCCACCGGCACCCAAGTTTTCTCACCCTCTCGCTTTCACGCTCCTTCTAGAGACTCCCTGGGTAGACAAAGCTACCAAACGCAGAACAATATAGATCGGATGCCGAGTAACAGTAGAGTACCGCAGGATACCCCGCCTAGGGAGCAAGTTGGGGATGATGAGCCCGATGTTTGGTAAGTCAAGCTTTACGAGAGACGCCTGGGTAAAGGAGTGATGCACTTTTTGCTCGTTTTCTGACGGGTCAACAATTAATTCAGGGACAAAAGAATATCTGACACTGGATGTGCAGGTGAGTTTCCCCCACCGTCCATGGCTCGGAGGCGGGCTGGTATGGCAGATCTGATAACATAATCACAGCGGAAAACACGAGGCTTAACGATTGTTTCTTCGAAAAGAAGGATTGGCGAATGTGTCAAAAAGAGGTTCGTAACCCTACCCGAGTTCTCCATTTATTCGCTCCTCAATCATGAGCAATTGGTGGCGGAACTGAAACTAAGGAGCTCTTGCTCGCGCAGATGGAAGCCTTTAAAGAATGTTGGAGGTTGAAGGGAAATAGGGATAGAACAGACTCTAGAGATAATTGACCAACAAGGGAGGGAGTAAATTATTGCCATTTTTCATTAAATGTAAATCGTTGCGAAAATATTGGTCCAGTGGACATATCATACCGTACGTACTCGTACTCGAGTACGGTAGTTACGCCGATGTGATTCAATAGGTAAATTTACTCGTAACATAGACAAGGGTAGGAACCCATTAACCGGAACAGACAAGGACGCATTTGGCTGGTTAACCTCAAATAACTGTTCAATAACTTCTTGCAGGACCCTGGTACCAGGTAAGAGTGGGGCGTCCTCCAGCCTCCAATCCCACAGTACAGTACCGGTAGTCTTGCCAAGAAACCAGCTATGATACCGGTATTGCAAAACAAATCTTGGCATTTTAATCCCCTTCCCCCGCCAAAAAGGAAACCATCCTATTTCAAACCTCATCCTCAACACCCAACCTCCAAGAAGAAGCCCAGACCATCCCCTTCTCTTTCTCGAATTTTAAATCCCCCCTTCCCGAAAATGTTCTCTCTATCTCGGAGGGCTCTCGGGAGGCGTCTCGCCTGGAATTCGTCAGCGAGACTGATCTCCCCTCCCCCCTTCACTGGACTCGCGGTCCGATACCTGGCAGCCGAACCTATGCCTACCAAGCCTCAAAATACTTCCATTTCCCAGTCCGGCTTTAATGATGCCCCGGAAACTCTTCTTGACTCGGGCGAGAAAGTTGATTGGGCTAGATCTTTCCACGGATTGTCGACGGAACCCTTCTCCAAGGAAGCAGCCGATGTTTTGCTTGCTCCTGTTAACCCTGAGGATGTTGAAATCAAACCCGGTATTCCCCACCCCTCCCGGTAGAAAAAAACTTGGCATGAAACACTAACCAGTCATACACTAGATGGAATCATCTATCTTCCCGAGATCAAGTATCGCAGAATCCTCAATAAGGCTTTTGGCCCTGGTGGTTGGGGTCTAGCGCCCAGGGGTGAAACCATTGTGACTGAGAAGACAGTTACTAGAGAATATGCTCTTGTTTGCAACGGCCGGTGTGTAGTATCAGACCCTGGCATGTGATTCAGTGCTAACATTAACCTAGCCTTGTGTCTGTTGCTCGTGGCGAACAAGACTACTTTGACCCGAGCGGCATCCCCACTGCAACTGAAGGCTGCAAATCAAATGCCTTGATGCGCACTTGCAAGGATCTCGGAATTGTCAGTGAGCTCTGGGATCCACGCTTTATCAGGAACTACAAGAAAAAGTACTGCGAGGAGAAGTTTGTTGAGCATGCCGTAACGAAGAGGAAATCGAAGCGCTGGATCAAAAAGGGAGAAACAATTGATTACCCCTTCAAGGTTTCTTCTTTCGGTTAGAGAATTTGATCCTTTTCCGTTTGTCTCTTTTACATATGATCTGGCTACACCAACGAGCAATTGAGAATCCAGGGATCGGGTATGAAAATCATGTATACTAGCGCTTCCTCTCCACTTGTGCCGATCAATTTCATTTTCATATTATTCACAAACGGATAGTTCATCGCCCCTCAATTGCCACACATACTCTCTTTCCTATTGCTTTCCATCTCAATTCTTTGCGTATACAGGATAATGGAAATCCGGTCTGGAGATGTCCTCTCGCACCTTATAGCTCTCCTCCGCATCCTGGAGAACTTCCATATCCACCTCTCCAATGACCATTTGTTCGTGAGCGCCCTCAGCCCTTGCAATGTCCCCCATGAGAGGCATTGCTATTTGTGATAATCCAGCAAAGCCAGACTCTTTTTGTCCACCAACGTTTGCGAAAGCGATGCATGAAACGTTCTCAAAAGCGCGTGATATTACAATCGATTCAAGATATATCGCCTCAGACCTAGGGTTCCGTTGGAACGCGGGTTCTGTCAGGTCCAGCAGATTCCCTTTCCCCACCCTTAGTTAGGGAATAATCACAAGTATCATAGTATGGTAGTAGAAAATATCTTACAGAATGAGGGAATTATAATGATTTTTGCGCCCTGGATTATGAGTGCCCGAAACGCTTCTGGGACTGTGCCTTAAGGTCAATTTCCCTACACGCAACCCTCTTGCGGAGGAGGGGAAGAAGTGGTGGTATACATGCCAAGTCCCAGCATATCAAAAGACCGACTTTTCCCAGCGGAGTGTCCATAACTGTATGCGGGTTGTTTCCAGCGGCCTCTAAGTGCGCCCTCTCAGTATGCCTATCCACACCTTAGCCGAGCTCATAACCACTGGGACAAAGTAGAGCCAAAAACCAAAGATTCTTCTTTGTATACGAGCCCAATATCTTTCCCTCATTGGAAATGAAGTGGGCAACGTTATACAGCATATCCTTTCCATCGTCAACATGTCTCTCAACGAACGTCCCCGGGACAATATTGATATTGCATTCCTTCGCTAGCTCCTGCTCCCTCCCTCACTCCCTCAAGACACTTTAGCCCAGCACAACTGAACGGCAAGTTGTAAGGGTTACACACGCAGAACTTAGAAAGGTACTCTCTATCGACATGGGCATCCGCAAATCCAGGGTCATCCGGGACCCACGAGGTGAGAGAATACTCGGGCAGGACTGCCAGTCGAGCGCCTGCCTCAGCAGCTTTCCGGATGAAGCCCTGGGCACGATTGAAGTTGTCCTCCAGCTGCATCGGCTTGGAGTGGAGTTGGATTACGGCGCACTTCCATTTCGAGGGTATTTCAGACATTTTCTCGATGGAGTTTGCCTTGAGTGTGGTTTGAGAACTATACAGTATGTAGGACTCACGGAAGGGTAAGTTTATTTCCGTGAGGCTCGGTTTTCGACTTACCTCAGATGATGTCATGATGCGAGGTGAGATCGCCGTATCATAAGGCTATGATCAGCGAGGCTCTCAACATGCAATGATCAAAGACTATTTCCTCCCAATAGTCTATTCAGTAGGGTGGGTGCCGGCACATCTGTCTCGTGGCCTATTACGAGTAGTGAAGAGGCATGATAGCATTTCTAGAAACCGAATTAAGCACCTGGAAGTTGATGTCTTGAAAAATCATAGTCTGAGTGATCCCACATGAGCCAAAGGAGGGTAAACCCTAATCTTCGATCCCCACATCAACTGCCACTACGGGGCCCCAATTCGCTGCAGCGTCAGATTAGCGAAAAGTTAACTATCATACCTTATAGCACAATACCTCCTCTCCATCCGCCACCACATCAATCCTACCAAAAAATGTTGGCGGGCCAAAATTTCAACGGCACGAATCGCCATCTCCGCGAAGATTCGGATACCGATGACGAGGTTCTTGCTTCAACTCTGGTCGAAGAGGCACTTCGAGATGACGGCGACTACGATGACCTGGAATCGGCGGGCGGGAGTCTCCAAATATCTGGCGAGAATATCCAACAGCGATTAGCTGCAGCAGCTACCCCACTAGACTTTCAAGCCCCCCTACAAAATCGATTTGACAGCTACGACAATTACTGCACGCTTTTTCACTTTATCCTCAATTCGGATGGGCCAGTGGATCTAGAACTACCGACTGTAGGTTCATTTTCACATTACGTTGATACTCCTATGGGACAAGTGGACGCAACAACGGTAGCATCCTGCAGATCGAATGCTTTTGTTTTATTTCTATGCCTCCCGGTGGGGGATATGATTAAGGATGACCGAGCTAATGATAATTTACTGTTAGTACTATTGGGCTTGGGATGTTATCGATGAGTTTATCTATCAGTTTAACAGCTTCTGCAGCCATCGCAATGCCGTGGCTCGAAAGGAGGGCGGTGGTAGTGAGGAGGAGAGAAGGCTGTTGTGTGATCACCCACAAACTTGGGGGTGTTACAGTGTACTTAACGTTCTCTACTCTTTGATCCAGCGTTCTCAGATGAATGAGCAACTCGCCGCCATTAAGAAGGGACAAGACCCGAAGTGAGTGTCCCTTTTCTGATATTGGGGATCAGACTGAGCCCTATGCTTATTTACTTGCTATAGTGAGGTTGCCGGTGAGTATGGGTCCCGCCCGTTGTACCGGATGTTGGGCTACTTCAGTATCATTGGGCTGCTCCGGGTTCATTGTCTGCTTGGCGACTTTACGCTGGCGCTCAAAACCTTGGATGACATAGAGTTGAACAAGAAGGCTGTATTTGCTCGGGTAATGGCAGCTCATTTCACGACGTAGGCTCTTGCTCTCATAATAACTGCCCCCCCCCCCCCATTCCCTTGATGCTGACGCTCTTATAGATACTACTATGTTGGGGTCAGCTACATGATGATGAGAAGATATGCGGATGCCATCAAGGCCTTTTCGCATATCCTTGTCTACGTCTCACGGACCAAAAACTTCCAGAAGAATGCCCAATTCGACTCCGTATGTCACTCATCAATTGCTTCTATTCGTGTATTTGCTAATGCTGTGCTTATAGGTTACTAAGAAGAACGACCAAATGTATGCTCTCATTGCTATCTGTGTAGCTCTCTGCCCTACTCGCCTTGATGATACCATCCATGCTTCCCTGCGTGAGAAATACGGTGAGCAGTTTACCAAGATGCAACGCGGAGGCCCCGATGCCCTGCAAATCTATGAGCAGCTGTTCATGTCTGCTTGCCCTAAATTCATCTCTCCCATCCCCCCAGACTTTGATAAGCCGGAGAACAATGTCGACCCCTCACAGCACCACCTTCGGGTTTTCATGGCAGATGTGCGGAATTCTATGCTGGCGCCTACACTAAAGAGCTACCTCAAGCTATACACCACCATGGATCTGAAGAAGCTTGCGGCGTTTATCGAAGTCGATCCTGAGGTTCTGCGGACCCAGCTGTTGGTTTACAAACAGAGGAGTAGACAGACTAGGTGGATAGAGGGTGGCTTATTGGAAGGAGAGACCATTAATACCTCTGATTTGGATTTCGCCCTGCAAGGAGTAGGTCTTTCTAGAATGCCCTAGAAGAATCATGCTAACTGAAGCATCGCCGTAGGACTTAATCCATATCTCGGAAGCCAAGGTTGGAAGAAGGCTTGTGGACTGGTACCTCCGCAATCTTGCAAAGACCTATTAAGCGATATATGGGCGGAGGTATATGGGGTGAAAAATAGAGGAGGTTCTTGTAATGGTGTCGCCGGATTCTTTCTATTTCATGGTGTGGGAAAATGTCATAAAAATAAATGTGAGCATCAGTGGATTAGTCGATGTTGTGCGGCCCCCTTACGTGTACTCACATCCCTTAGCAAGTATGATATTTCACATGGAGTTATTTGTTTCCAAATCCCCCCTTCTCAGTTGATGTAGACTGCGAGTGATACACAATGATGGAGTGCTCCGAAATGTATTCGGAGGCATGATAGGATGCATTCTCAAAATTTGTGCTTGTGTTCGTTTGACCAACACTCTCTTTACCCTACCACTTGCCCTATTCGATCATAAATCATAAAAAACTCTTAGCATACAAAAGGTAAAAAGAAAAAAAAGAGAGCGGTATCAGACTCGGGTCACAAAAGTAGGGGGAAAAAGACAAAAAAAATCAAAAAAATCAAACATAAAAGGATCCTTCTTTCTCTCTCATGGCAGAACCGGTGTCCTATCCCTATCCCTATGCGGCGGACTCACCGGCGTCGCTCCGGGTGGTAACTTCTTGGGTGGAGGGGTATGTGCCATGCCCCGCTTCTGCTTCTTTTTCTCTGGGCTATTGCTAGGCCTGTCTATCACCGGAAGCGGTGGCAGCAACGGAACTCTCGCTCTACGCTTACTGGGCTCTGGCTTATCTTCGCCTTCACTCGCGGATATGGTCGAGTCACGGGAGCGGGAGCGGCGACGTTTTTGGTGGGCTGATGAGGGAGTGAAGGCCAAGGGGGATAGGAGGCTAGGTCGGGTATTTTGCGAGGAGCTTGCGGAGGAGGGGAGGGTGGTTGTTATTGAGGGGAGGTGGTGCTGCTTGCGGGGTTTTCGAAGACGGGGGTGGGGGTTCTGGTGATTAGGGTTATTAGGATGGTGGTGGTGGTGATGGTGATGGTGGTGACGGCGGCGGTGGTCGGAGTGGTCTTCCTCCACCATTTCTTGGGAGAGGACTTGGGATGCTAGGAGCCCCAAGGCTGCTAGTCCGTCGTCTTCATTGTTAGTGTCGGATTCTGGAGCGTTGCGTAGTCCCGGTGCTCGAGGCGGACCTCTGTAACCGTCGCCCCGTCTGGCTGTATGCTGCTGGTGATGGTCCGCGGCAGCGGAGCAGGAAGTAGGGCAGCCCGGAGACCGAGAGGCCTCCAATTGGTGCTGGTGCTGTCGGTTGTCCCGGATCCTCTTCTTCAACTTCTCGTTCTCATCCCTCAATTCACCGAGATCCTCGCGGTGTTCTCGGAGACTGCGCTTAGCACGCCTTAACCGCCGCTTGTACAATTCGTTCTCCTCCACAAGCACGGCCTGTTGGCTAGTGTTCCAGGAGCCCTGGTCGAGACGGAGTACCTCTACTTCACGACGAGTGATATCTGATTCTACTTGGTGACGGGCGGCTGCTTCTGAATTCTCTAGCATGAGGAGTTTGTGCTGGAGGGTGTAATGCGTTGCCGTGGTACGTAGAGAAGATAGCGATGACGAGAGCGTCTTGACTAGCTGGTTGGCAAGATTCAACTTCGATCGCAAAGTGCACAAATCGAAGGATTCGATGGCGGACGGGCTGAGGTCATCCCATGCTGCCGTCTCAGGCGGAGGCGCTGGCAGCGCCGGGAGTTCAATGGGAGTTGGGGCAGCGGTGGTAGGAGTTGTGGACGAGGGGCCGAAGGATGTGGAGGCGAAGGATGGGCTTACTGCGCGATTGTAGAAAGATTTCGCTGGGGCAAGATGAACATTCGGTGTCAAAGGCTGTTGGCGGGATTGTGAATGGGAGTTCGAGGAAGGAGTCACTTGAATCGCGACTGGTGAAAGCGGCGATGTAGATGTAGGTGTGTGTATGGTAGACCGCGAAAGATGTCCTTGGTGGTCTTCCTGGGCAGCCATTGGCGTACCAACGGGATGGGGCGATAAGCGGGCAACGGCTAAGATAAAAATACAGTAAGAGTAGGGGCGACAACAGAAAGCGAGAGAGAAAGAGTGGACAGAAATATGAGAGAGACAAGGAGGAAGAGGAAGCCTCCTCTGTGGGGAGGAAGGAGGGGCGAGCGGGGGCACAGTGGATCGCTAAACTACGGGGGGCCTTTGCGTGGGAGTGACTCCGGACGTCACCTGCAGTGTAAACAAGAGGTTAGGTTGGGATAACAATGGAATTGTTTTATGTAAGCATACTTACAGTAGGCGCACCTGCTACTCGTAGACTACGAAACAGCCGCCCGTTAGTTAGACATGGACAAGAACCCACTTTTAAATGCTTGGCTCAACTCGCTTGTCACATTGTATGATATGCGGGGAGCCCCTGGCAACCTGAGGCATCTCATCCTTTGCAGTTTGCTTGCACAGACCGATCTCTGGTTTTCCTCAGGGGAACACACTTGACTCTTCCGGTCCCTCTCGAGGGCAGACAGACAGAGAGGGTTGTCTAACTTTATCACTCTTAATTTCACTTTGTCAGAGCTCTCTTATAAGGGAGAGCCATTGGATAAGGTGGGCACTGTGCGGTATTCTCAGTCCCCTAAATTATTTACGCTAGACTACGGTACTGTACAGTATGATACACGAGTACTCGTACTGTAGACTACTCATGCGGCTGAGTGCTAAGTAAATCACGTGATCCTCTATTCCGATTGGTCAACCATGTCTCAGGCATTCACGATGGAGTAGGAGAGATATCTTTCAACCATGTGATACAATAAAAGCATTCAAAGAAAGACTTTACACTCCCCCTATACTTCAGTCCTCCAAAGTCAAAGAGAAAGAGAAAGACATTAAATTAGCCATGAAAATTGTTCCGTCCGCCACTCCCAATAACTAACCTGCACTTTTCGTGGAAGTCTAAGCATTGTCGTTGAATTAGATCCATTGGATAATCAATCCAGGTATGTAGAAGCGTGTTCTTGATTAAGAGAGGAAAGTTAGTCCTTATACTAAAGTCTCAGAATACTGAGGCCGAATAACTTGGGTGACTATTCTTCAATAATTTCGCTTTGACTTTGCCGCACGGGTGGGGGGGGAATGAAATTGTAGGGATACCTTTGCACTCTCGATTGTAGCTTGACTCGCTCTGGTAAACTGATATATAGAAATTGTATCCTGTAATTGATATTAGTATAAATCAAAAGTAGAACTACTGGAACATATTACCTTTTCATAGTCCCAGCATTGTTCAATTTAATTGAGATCGGGGGAGCAGGCAGGCCAGTTAGGGGTTATGATATACATATTAACACGGTCACCAGAATTGATCGTTGGCGCAGCATGGTGTGATGGTGGATTATCTTCTACTAACCATACGGTACTATCACCTGTCTGAGAGAGCAGTAGTGGTTGAAGGTGATCTGTGATCCAAGGATAAAGATTAGGTTGTAAAACCTGTTCACAATAGGCAACCCAATTGATACCTCCCTTAGTTTGTGCTTTGATTTTATTGACTTTGAAGACCTGCTCAGGCATATAGTAATGTCGCTTATGACTACCAACTCGTCCTTCTACCATGTTTTGGTGATTGATGGTCTTGTTCACAGCTTCAACCTCTCTACTCTCTTGAGTACCTGTCTGGTAACCAAGTGCGACCTTTTCTTCTGCCAGCTCTTGTCTAACCTGGTTGACTGCTTGTTGGATATCTTGCTGGTGTTGTTTATCCTCTTCGCTTGCTTGAGGATAAATATAACCAGGTGCCGGACCGAGTAAACAGTTAATCCCAATCCAAAACATGAGATGAATAGTAGCTGCATTAGGTTTTTTTGCCTTCGCTGTATCGAATGGATTATCTCCGCTAACCCTTGTCTGATGAGTTTTACGGTGTGAGGAATTAAACTCTATCCACATCTCATCTGTAAACGCAATTCGGCGAATGTCTATTGTGATACCAAGTTTTGCAAGATCAACTCGATCATCTCTCATCTGCGGTGTAAGCAAAGACTTTAAACATGCAATGTATCGAAAACCGTTGTGGCTGTGAAAAAGGGTTTCAATTGTCGATCGTGCTGCCTTAACTTCAGCTTCCTTAGCGATATCAGGCCATGGCATATCATGGTGGTCCAAGTCACTTATAGAGAGATTTAAGAGTTTTTTTGCCTCGAGAGAGTCCACAGAAAATCGTACCCGTTTTGATGCTCCATTATCATGCTCGTGTGGGCCCTCTAAACAGGAATACACATTCTCAAATCTTGCATTTTCTCCTGCACGAGCCTTATGGCAATTAGTACTATCCATAGTTTATTTATTCTCAAGTGGATGAGATACCTTTGCCCGTTCGATCAACCTCATTGCACTTCCTGGATTGACACTTAAGCAAGTAGAAATCTCAGTCCATGATTTTTCCCCATACCAACGAAGCGCCAGAATTGCAGCTCTTGGATCAAGGGGTATCCATGTACCATATGTACCATGCACTCCGGGGTTATTGACATTCATTCTCGTGATTCTGTAGGACTAGTGCTTGGGTGATCTGGTATCCTACCTCTCTCTCCCGGTCACATAGTAAAAATATTTTCCAAGACATTATTGACCAATCGGAATAGTGGATCACGTGATTTACTTAGTACTCGGCTGCATGAGTGTATCTACTTTTCATAGATGAATGCCTTTGTACTTGTACACTGTTTCTAGGTTACAAGTTCTCGGCACGATAAACCTGAAGACAAACACACATATGATGTCTGCCATTTACTTCATTTTTAAAATAGCAACAATACTGTCATGGATATGACAGGATTTTGCACATGACTCGATTATGAGTCATGGATCTCACACAGATGACTCACTCAAGTCAAATAACTTATTTATGTTATGATTTGTTATGTTTAGCACATGACTCAATTATAAGTCATAGGTCTCGCTGAGAGGCGGAGACAACCTGATAGACTTCAGAGTTGTCTAAGTCAACCAAGATTCATTTCTGTAGACAGAGATTGTCTAGGAAGGCTCAGATTTCACTTGTTTTGTTTATGACTACTAAGAGCAAAGTAAAGTGGGTAAAGTAGAATAGAATTGTAAAGACAATATTATATTGTTAAGCTCTCTTCTCCGTTACTTGATAATATTTAAAAGTTTGGAAGACACTTCGATATTTATATTCTGTATTAGAGTGT